TCAAAACTCTTGTCCTCGCGATGTATTACCACCCGAAACACCAGCGGGAATAATACCCTCTGTAATTATACAGCAAGCGAATTAGCAACTCAATTGGAAACATCGCTCAATATCCTTGATAGTGGGAGTAGGACTGACTCTAAACCCCACTTCTAAACCCGCTAAATCCAACTGCCAAACCCCTAAACCCTAAACCCAACTGCTAAACCCCTAAACCCTAAACCCAACTTCTAAACCCCAAAAAACCCCCTAAACCCAACTTCCAAACCCCTAAAACCCCCTAAACCCAACTTCTAAACCCCTAAACCTTCAAAAAAACACAAAAAAACACAAAAAAAACAACAACAAAAAAACAACAACAAACAAAAAACAAAAAAACTAAATCCTGCCCCTGAGGCCGACGCTCTGATAGGCGCAGCGCGCTGCAAAAACAGAAACCAAGGAAAGCCTATCCCGAACTGGGCCTTGAGCCAAGTTCAGGGTTTAGGGCTTTATTGGTTTTAGGTTTTAGGGTTTAGGGTTTAGGGTTTAGGGTTGAGGGTTTTAGGTTTTTTTTTTAAGGGGCCCTTTTTGGGTTTTAGGGTTTAGGGTCTAGGGCTTTAGGGTTTTGGGGTTTAGGGTTTAGGGTTTAGGGTTTAGGGTTTAGGGATTAGGGTTCAGGGTTGAGAGTTTAGGGCATGTCAGATGGGTTTAGGGTTTGGGTTTCGGGCGTCAGCGTTCGTGTTTGTCAGGGTTTAAGTGATTCGACCAGGGCTCGGGATGCATTACGGAATGCCTTTCTAGGAATCTGGGAACTATAAGGGGATCATACGGTTGATGATATATAAACCCTGCAGTACCGTAATAAGGAATATGCCATATTTCCCATAGTTTAGGGTCCTTAAGGTAATGCAGGATTTATGTCATCAACAGTATCACTAGTTCTCAGATAGTCTGGTAACCCTAAACCCTAAACCCTAAGTCACTGGGGCAAGTCAAAAGGCTTTAGGCCTTGAGGTATGGCTAAAGGCTTTTCTGACCGTGGGGGACTGGGTATCGCCGTAGCCATGATATGGGGGCTTAGGGTATCGCCATAGCCATGATATGGGGCTGCTCTAAACTACGGTCTCTGTCCTGGGGGCGGGGGGGGGTCCTAACTCTGTGAAACGAAGACTACAATAGGAAGCTGAAAGAGCGCAACCATAACCATCAGATCACCGAAAAGAAACCGGTCCCTGCCATACATTGCCAGCCCTAAACCCTACACCCTAAACCCTAAACCCTAAACCGTCAAGCGATAACTAACTTGACTTCCCAAACTTGCCTGGTTATAGGCGCATATCGCACGAGGCTTCAAGATGCATAACAGGCAACATTCTGATTCATGAGGCCCCTGCTCGGAGGTTCATGGGTAATTATAAGTGGGGGTATAAGTAGGGTAACTGTAACTATAACCCATATTAGGGGACTTATAACCCCATCTATAACTACCCATGAACCTCCAAGTACACATATCTTTGTCGTTACCCAGCGGAAAGACATCTCGGAGGCGGGCGCGGTAATGTTCTTTCGATGCACTCTTGGAACAAGTCGAGACATCGGTCACCGGGTTTGCCGCCCAGCCCCTAAACCCTACTAAACCCTAAACCCTAAACCCTACCAAACCCTAAACCGTACTAAACCCTAAACCTGCACCGAGCACGTTTTCTGGTTACGGCCAACATCACACGAGCTCTGTAGCTATCGCCTGAGGCCCGGCTGCGCTGGATCCTGTTTGGTTGGGATGGACCTGTGATGAGTTGTACCAACTGCGGCTCAGATGCTTGTTCCGTAGAGGGTAGACTACTCTTTGCTTCTAGAGCTTGAAGTCAAAACTGCAATCCGTGCCATCTCCTCATCCAACACATGGGAGCTTCAAAACTAGAATTCTGTTACGCACAGGGCCTAAATACTGGTATCTGTGCAGGAACGCAAACAAGCACCCCCCCCAAATCTACGAAACAGCCCCAGATCCTGTAGACACGTTTTTGTGCATCACCTGGCAGAACACCAACAGCGCCGGTGAACTGTCTGCTTTCGGGGCTCCTGTCCATGATGTTGAAGCACAAATCACCTCCGGCAGGAACAAGCAATCAGACCAATTAGACGGGAGCACAGCCCTCTGGTTTAGGGTTTAGGGTTTAGGGTAATCATGGCTAACCCTAAACCCCTAAACACGAAACCCTAGACACTAGACAACCTCAACGAGCTCCCGTACTGTCACTGCCCTTGGCCTCAAAGGGTGGGGCTCCCGATTTCTGCTGACTTGTGGTTTTGGAGTTTCGGCTTGCTACAAGAGCTCAGGGCTTAAAGCTTTAGGGTCTTAGCCTTCGGGCTTGGGCTTCTTTAGAGTCTTAGCCTTAAGGCTTGGGCTTCTTTAGGGTCTTAGCCTTAGGGCTTGGGTTTCTTTAGGGTCTTAGCCTTAGGGCTTGGGTTTCTTTAGGGTCTTAGCCTTGGGGCTTGTGTTTTGGGCTTTCGGGCGTCAAGCGCGGCACCTTCGCAAAGAAGCCCTTGCTTGAAGCGGGGGAGGTCACCTTGCCGCAGCCCATTCGAGCTGCGAGGTTGCGTACCCCATGAGATAGGCTGCGATGCTGGCATCCAGTTCGATCCCACTTGGTTAGCTGCAGCTGCCCGCTTGAGGAACTGGTCCAGGCAGTCGCATATCGCAGGAAGAGGTCCGCCGGTCTGGAGGGCTCGAGGGTGCGGGCGAAGAAAGTCAGCTCCCTGGACTGTGGACTGTGCCTCAAATGCGGTGGCGCATGACTTCTCCACCGGTGGAAAGCTGCTGGCAACACGGCCCTGTGCAGACTCGGAGATGTTGTACATTAACCCTCCACCCCTGCATTGCCCCAGACTTCGTGGATGAGCTCGACTGGCGCTGGAACTATCATGACCCCCCCGAACTCCAGCACTTCCGAAGTGCTGGACCTACCCTTGCGGCAGCCAGCACTTCAGCGCCGAAGGGAAGTTGTCGGTGACCTTGATGGAAGACAAGCACGTCGCAGCCAGACGCAAATCGTCGGTGCGAGCAGAAACGCTCAGCAAACACACCGAGACCAAGCCGGCTCGAAGCGCCAGGATGTCATCATGTCTGATTCCACTCGGCACGGGGTCGTTCGACAAATCTCGCTGCACAGTCCTTTCGGCTTCATGTACCAGGAGGATCAGGGGACGTAATAGCTGTGTTACCAGTGCCGTGATAGAAGTCTCGGCTGCTTCTACGCATAGTTGAAGCGCTTCCAACTTCCAACCACTACATCCAACTACTAATGCTGCTCCTAGCAGACTTGAAACCCTCCAAGCCAATTATAAAACGAGAACCTACAAATCCAAGAATTCCAAGAAGGTCCTTGCATGCGCATTGGTCGCTGGCACGGCTGCGGTTCTGCTGCGGATCGTTGCATGATGCCTGGGCCTACGACTGAAGAAGCTGCAGGCTCGCCTGCTCGCAGCCCAGGAGCCTGAATAAGGTGCTTTATGGCTTCATAGTTAGGCGGATTTGGGTAGGCTATCAGGGGCTCCAGGGTTTTTGGGGGGTTGCGTCTTGAGAGGGTTTGGGATTTAGGGCGCAGAGAGCTTACCGTTTGCGCCCTCAGGGTCTGCGAAGAAAGTAGCATTGACTACACGCCCAAATATCTCCCAAGGAAGCAAATAAAGTTTGCAAAACTTTGGCCGGACTCCAATCAAGCAGTGCCCCAGCATTGCTCGAACCATCGCAAGCAGCAGCTGCCGTGGCATATGCGACCTCGAACGCCCGCTGCAGGAATGGAAGGTGAATGGACGAGGCCGTAAGTAATTGAACCTGGTAACCCTAAAGCCTATAAAGGCGTGGCTGTCTGCAAAACCCACAGACACGACGGTCCTAAACGCCCTCTTGTTGAGGCCTTTTTGAAATTTCTTGCTACCCTGGCCTCCACTCGCAAAGGTTTGCCCCAAGAGTAAATCATGAATCCTCAGGAGCAATAGATTGGCATGTATTCCTACCGCTGTAGTACTCCTGTAGGGCTTTCCTGAGCTGCGAACCCATGTCGACCCAAATCACGCGCACAAACATACGGATCGCCAACATGTTCCTTCAGAGCATTTGCATTTCCAACACCCCCCCGAGGGGTAGGATCCACAGACCCGAACCCCAGACCCTTAACTCCAAAACAACATATAGAATCCAACCCACCCCCAAGTGCTGAACCCGCTGCCCTTTCCTCGTCCCTAAACCCTAAACCCTAAACCCCTAAACCCGAAACCGCTAAACCCCGAAGTTCAGGGTCCAGGCACCGCATCCAGTGCGCAGCGGCTGCGCCGCATCTCGCCGAGGAGGTCCAGGACCACGACCGGGTGGTTGGCACAGGCCTCGGGTCGGCACATGGTTCAGGGTTTAGGGTTTAGGGTTTATCATATAAGGTTCGTGGTAGAATATTAAGGTTTGCGGTAGATTTTTAAGGTTTATGGTGGAGTGTAGGGCGGTTCTAGACTTTGTGCTAGCAGTGCTGGCGGTGGTGGTGCTGGTGGGGGCGGCTGCCGTGGCAGTGGTCCCCTTGAAATCCCATATGCATAACTCGACGGGGCACCCTCGACCGTAAAATCGATTCTCTCGACCCGGCTTTTGCAAAGTGCTTTGGGTCAAGGACAAAGTGGGAGCTACGTGACGGAGGAACGGACGGAGCAACGATTTCCAGTGCTGGAAAGCGCAGCATGCGCAACTACAATAGAGGCCTTAATAATTCGAATAGGGCTTTGGGGTGTATTATACTATAATTATCATAAGGAACCCCAAAATAGTGTAGGTAAGTATTGGCCCCTATACTGCAAGTGTCCATCTCTGCGTTGAAGTTCAGGGCACCAAGGCATCACCGAGAGTACTCGTCTGAAGGTGTTGGGTGCTTGTTGGAGGTTCATGGGCACTTATAAGTGGGGTGATAAGTAGGGTAGTTACACTTCTAACCCAAATTCGGGGACTTAGAACCCCATGAGCCTCCTAAACTCCTAATCCCTCAACCCTTTGGAACCCGTAAAGAAACCCTACTATGAGCCTTTCAGGTAGGATCCCCTAAACCCCTAAACCCTAAACAGCTAAACCCTAAACCCCTAAACCGCCCTAAACCCGAAACAGCTAAACCTGAAACCCCTAAACCCCTAAACTCCTAAACCCTAAACCCCTCAATCCTAAACCCCTAAACCCTAAACCCGAGATCGTTTTTTTTGCGATGTTGAGAGAGGCCTCCAGGCTGGCCGTGTAGGTGATGGTGTTCGGCGTCAGGCGGAGGCCACGCAGCTCGGAGAGTAGGCAAAGACCTGAGAAGGTTCCTCTAAGGGTTTAGGGGTCTAGTGTTTAGGGTTTAGGGCTTAGGGTTTAGGGTTTAGGGCTTTGGGTTTAAGGCTCAGGGTTTAGGGTTTAGGGTCCTACAAAGGCTACTATAAGGTTTGGATAACGTGGGGGCCGTAAAAATTTGACTAGGGCGTTTCTGCATAATGTACTACAGTTATAGTAATTTGAGTAGGCAAAGACCTGGGATGGATATCCTAAGTGCTCCCAGGTGCCTGGTCTCCTTCGCTGTGAATACTCTTCTTTACTACGAAACGCCACCGTCGGCACAGTAAGAATAGTAATAGCAGTAGCAGCAGTAGCAGCAGTAGCAGCAGTAGCAGCAGTAGCAGCAGTAGCGGCAGTAGCAGCAGTAGCAGCAGTAGCAGTAGCAGCAGTAGCAGCGGCAGCAGTAGTAATAGTAGTAATGTAGGGGCCTTAATCATTAGAATAGGGTTTGGGGCTTCTTTATAGTAGATCTATAACAAGGATCCCTAAGAAGAATATTGGTAAGTATTGAGGCTTCCATAGTCGTCGTCGTGTCCAAAGCTCTTTCCCGAGCCTCCAATCTCGGAGGGCTTGGGTTCCTTTGAAGGCTTCAAGAATATGGGATCCTAGGCTTCCTTTAAAGGGTACTACAGGGTTTAGGGGTTTGGGGGTTTAGGGTTTAGAGGGATGCTTGCGAGTAGTATCGGGGCTCTTCCCCCCCTAAACCCTACTTGGAGGTTCATGGTAGTTATAAGTGGAGTTATAAGTAGGCTACCTACAGTTATGACCCAAATTAGGGGACTTATAACCCCACTTGAAACCACTCCAAGTAAACCCTAGACCCCAAACCCTGAACCCGAAACACCCCAAATTTAGGGCTTCGGGAACTCTAACAAGGCTCAGGCCGAGAACACCCCCGAACCCTGAGCACCTCCCCACCAGAAATGTTGGGTGTTGAGAGGTTTAGGGTTTATAGCTTTAGGGGGTGGGTTTTATTTAGAGGTTTAGGGCAGTTTAGGGCTTAGGGCTTTAGAGGTTTAGGGTGTAATCAGGCGGATAGCCGCGACTCCATTGAGCCTTCCGAGCGCAGGCGCTCAGAGCCCCATCGAAGGACACCAGGCCGCGGGTGACGGAGGCATGGCCTCAGAGAGTTCAGGGTTTAGGTGGGCTTGGGTCTAGGACTTACTGCTTGGGATCGGGGTGTTAAAGTTTGAGAGAGCCTGCCCAGGTTAGAACTGCGCTGACCGTAGGGCTGCTACGATCCTCCAAGCAGGAGAGCCAGCGCTGGCTTTGGGGATTTTGGTCGGCTCTGGAGGGCCTTTGTGCTTCGACAGGCCACACACCAGCATTAGGGATTTAGGGTGTGGGGTTTAGCTTTGCAGGAGGGCTGGGGATGAGGGTTACAGAGTCTGCTGTTCGAGAGAGACATAGCACCAGACACCTCCGAGTGGGATCTGGGATGTCGATCTCAAGATTTCGGGGTCCGCTGTTGTTTAACGACCATTCCCAAATCTGCGGCTTGCTCCTGAATCATCACCTATACGATTCCCTTTATGATGACAGTACAACATATCACAGAACCCAATTTCCTGTAACAGCCCCTACAGTCGGTTTTGGGGTTTAGGGTTTCTTGGGGTTTAGGGTTTAGGGTTTTAGGGGCTATGGAGAAGGCCGAGATGCCCATTCCTCCAAAGAGCTGCAGGACACATCTCCATTCTTCCGACTTCTCCCCGGCGCTCAACGTGGCGCTGTAGCTGACCTCGGGAAGAAAGGCCCAGAAACACTAAACTCTAGACCCTCAGCCAAAGCCCTTTGTTAACATCCTAAACCCTTCGTAGACCCAATCCCATACCCCAAGCCCTAAACGCTGAAATAAGGTTCCGGGCTTCTGGGGTGCAAACTTCGGGCTCGTGGCCAGAAAAAACTACAGAAAAAAGGCTTTGCCCCAACTTCTAGCTTCTTCCAGGGTTTAGGGTTTAGGGTTTAGAGTTTAGGGTTTACGGTTTAGGGTTCTTCTTCGAAGCACTTGCTTCTGCGGGTGAGGTGCGAGACTTCGGGAGGATTCCGACTCTCCAGCCCTCAAGCCATAATGTAGGGGCCTAAGTAATTACCAATACTAGTTTGGGGGTTCCTGATTATACTTATAGTATAATGGGCTCCATAACCCTATTCTCACTATGAAGGTCCCTACAGTAAACCCAAACTTCATCCTTCTTTCAGCTGTCAGGGCGTCAGAGCTTCGGGCCCTGTGATATCTTCACATCTCGGGCTGGCACCAGGGGCCCTGAACCTTACACCCCAGCCTCCAGCTCACTTCGGAGGTGGGGGCTTGGGGGAAGTACTTGGAGGTTCATGGGTAG